GTGCTATACCTTATTGAATGCTTTGAAAAAAAATATGTCATTTTCAATTATGAATTCCTTAGTATTACACAATGCATGTTGATTCCGAAAAAATGAGAATTGGAGAAGAATTTATCTTTCTTTATGGTCAAGTAACATATTTCATATATTGTATGCATCTCTGTTACTTGATTTTATATATACAGTTATTATTGCCCAAGCCGTTTCTTTGAAGTAGCTAATAATCTTCTTCGTCCACGTTTTTATCCAAAAATTCTGAACCAATTATACAAACTCAAACGCTGTTCGGAATTCTGATTTGTTGTCGGTAAAGGTTTGCCGGGCCCTTTCTTCCCAATTAATTGCTGAAATATTTTTGACGACTTTGATAAAACTAAGATCGATAAAGATCGTTTTCTTGAATAATACACTAAAATATACGGGCCATGTGATAAATGCTTCACTTATTTATATAATCATTCAAGTTTGGAATAATGTGCAGCATTTTTGGAACATACAAGCGCGTGTTTGTACATTAATATTATTATTATTATTTTTTTGAATATTTTTAACAGCAATCAGTACCTTACGTTCTATGAGCTGTTGGGCTAAAACTTTCCTTCACTTCGTATTTTTTAGATGGTAACCCAATGGTTTATCCATCCATATTTGATGATATTTGTTATTAGAATTAATCTAATAGGGCTGACTTTTTTATTGGTGAAGCAATGCCGGGCAAGAGCTATTTTCACTTGGAAACATATTGCTATCTCTATTTCCAAGTAAAAATCGTTGTTACTGCTGTCTGACAACAGGTTGCTCGAAGCGGGTATCGAACCCGGGACCTCTGAAACAAGTCCTGTTGCTCTTAACCGCTTACCTACGGGCGAGCCATTATTATTTATACTGATAATATTAGAGATAAAATAAGTTTGTTTGAGAGATATAAATTCAAAATTGCATTGATTAGTTTTTAGTAAAAGCAAAAACTTTTATTTTTGGAACTAAAAATTGAAAATTCTATCTAAATAGCTATCTTTCAATCTTTTTTAAACAACTCTATTCTTCACGTGTATCGAGAAAATTATGCATTGCGCTTTAAGGCAAACTGCCACTTACACTAGTTTACACTCCGAAGGAAGAGTTTGTTTTTGCAAAAAATCCGATATGGTAATTTTATGTTTTCTTAATGTTTCAAGTCACTCTCAATTATACGAGCCAAATTTTTATCTTCTGTCGATGTTTTTTAAAAAAAAGGCTAGACCGATTCACAATGTTGAAGCCATTCGATGTAACTCGACCAAGCCTTTTCTTTATAGTTAGCAGAAAAGTTCTCATTTTAGCCCACAATCTTTAACCGATATTAAAAATTACAAAACTGTTTAGTTTTTGATAAAGTTTAGCTGTTTCTTCTTAATTTAATGTTAAAAAAATGATGAAACTTTCTATAACGCTAGATTTCATAGTTGAAGATGTCATACTAATATATTAGAGTCCTAAAGATAAGCGGTTGAATTATAAAAATTCACCAAAGTCTGGAATTGCGCTCCGAGCTTAAGCGATTCTAATCAGAATCTACAAAAATCTATCGAGCTGGATTTGTTAACCCCTTACCGCTAAATTGGATTGGTTCAATGGGATGGAAAATAATATACATGTATAGGGTATCCCAAATATTGACGTCAAGCCAAAAGTGGGTGATAGTATTCCCCTGAAAAAAAATAGAAAAAATTATCTCACGAGGTTTGGAAATTACGAGCTTATAAATGCAACCTAGAGCTTTGGTAAAATAATTGACCATTTTTTGGTTACTGTGGGTAAGTTTTATGAATTTTGTTTATTTAAACTTCTTAACCGCAACCGTAAACAGAATTTCTAGGACCAGAGTCAAAAATACAAGTGTCCCGAGTTTTTAAGAATTAAGACTATTTGTTAAACTATGAATTTAAAATTTAAAAAATCGGCCGGCTTGCAGAGGCCTTGCTTAAAAAAATGTACTAAAATGTACTAAAATGCAAGTTTGATCAAAAATGTATTAGCAATAATCTTTTTGCTAATGTCTTTTTACCCATTTTTAGGTTTTTGATTATTTACACGAAATTTTTCAATAATAAAATTTTCAAGTATTTTACCAATTTACAATCCTGATTAAATAAACTAACTTTTGATGAAATTTGCCAAGACTCTTTAGTACATTTTTTTAAGCAGGGCGTTTCAATTCGGTCGATTTTTTCAATTTAAAATTTACGGTTCAACAAAAAGTCTTAAGAGACAATTGTGTTATTATTTTTGACTCTGATCCTATAAAATGCTGTTAACGGTTATGGTTGCAAAGTTTCAATAAACAAAATTTATCAACAATAACCGAAAACTTTTCATTATTTTACCAAAGCTCTAGGTTGCACTTAAAAGCTCATAATTTCCAAATTACGTGAGTTATATTTTTTTCTAATTTTTTTCAGGGCAGTCAAGGCTAGTGCTATCACCCACTTTCGGCTTGACGTCAGTCTGTGACACTTTGTATAAGAACTTGCAATAAAATCAAATTAGTTACCTATAAATAGTGAATAAATTGAAGAATATTAATCAAATCGATTACCTTCTTCAGTCTCCGATGCCGTATAGGTCTGAACCACGTGTAGGATCTTCAGGTGAGATGGCTCATCCCAGAGAGATGTTGCGCGAAGCTCAGCAGCCAAATACTCCAAGCCCAGTACGAGTCTCGGCAACCGTTGGCGTTCGAGAGGATGACAGAAACTCGCCGCAGCAACGATTTATAGCCGCCCAAAATGCCGCGGCTGATTTTTCTCAACCGCTCTCATTTCAGGTGGTAGAAGATACTAGAACATATTCTCCGAGGAACTAATTTGTAATATTGTTATTTACGTATATATTCTTAAATATAAATTTAACATTTACATTATAGAAATAATTTGGTGTAGTATAAATTATGTTAAGTAATATAAATTTTGTAAGTACTTTTCATCATAAATTGAAAGGTATAAATATAAGTAAAGAGTACCAAAATTAATGTTTATCATAATGTTGAGATAGAATGCGTCGGCAATGAGAAGTCAATATTTCTGCAAAGATAGGTAAAAATATGGGTAATGATAATTTGTCAGTAAAGAAAGAAAAATGTATAAAATTCATAAAACGATTGTTAAAGTTTCAATAAGATTATACTATATACGCATAACTATATATTAAAAAAAATGTACATTACATACCTCTTCGGATCTTCTAAAAACCTCAGATCTCAAAACACACACACGCACACACACATACATGTATATTAGGGTGGTCCTTAATATGGACATTTTCGAATTTCCTTGCTCCCAAGGGCCCAAATGGTTCCAAATTGATGTAAAACAATTCTATGAAAGTTTTAGCTCTTAATATTGTTTTTTAGATAGTGCGCAATTCAATCAAAGTTTTGTAACTCTTTTTGCACTATTTATTCAGTATTTTAAATTTTACAATCGTTTCGAAACTCTGTTTATCTTATCACTAGTATAATAATTTTCAATTAAATCATTAAAATATAGATCAGAACATTCGTGATCTCTTATACAGTCACATGGCTTTTAATTTTTAATAAAAATTTAATTTAAAATTATTACACTGATTATGAGACAAACTGAGTCTCGAAGCGTTTGTAAAATTTAAAATATTTAATAAATAGTGCAAAAAAAGAATTGTTTGTTAATATTTTATAGTATATTTATATATATATATATATATATATATATATATATATATATTAAGGTGGTCCTTAATATGGTCATTCTCGAATTTCCTTGCTGCCAAGGGCTCAAATGTTTCCAAATTGACAAAAAACAGTTCTCTGAAAGTTTTAGCTCTTAATATTAACATTTAGATGGAGCGCAATTCAATCAAACTTCGTATGGAAATAGCATGGAAAAAATTTTGAAAATTAAAAAAAAAAAATGTTTTAGGTATAACTTGGCAACAAATGAATAACTTTTATTCATTCATTTGTTCGCCAAATTACATCTAAAAAACATTTTTAAAATTTTTGAAAATTTTTCCATGCTATTTCCATACATAACTTTGAATTGCGCTCTATCTAAACGTTAATATTAAGAGCTAAAATTTTCAGAGAATTGTTTTATATCCATTTGGAACCATTTTAGCCCCTGGGAGCAAGGAAATTCGAAAATAACCATTTTAAGGACCACCCTAATGCATATATAATAATATATAACAATATATATGCGTTTAGGTTCCGAACTGAAAACCAAATGAAAACATTTTTATGACTAACAATAAGTATTTTCGCGGTTTTGATATTGAGCACGTTACATCTTCAAGCTTAATAGTAGAAGCTTTAAATAATAAAAGAAAAAAAAGAACGGATTAAATGCCACCAACATGATTCAATTCTTTCTTTAATATCTGTATTTTATGGAAAACATTCAACACTAGAAAATCTATTACGGCATTTCAAAAATATTGAATGTATCCTTCTTAAAATACTTAAAACTTAATTTGACCTAAATAGAAATGAGATATTTATTTATACATAGCAATAACTATTGTCACTATTATATTATATTGATAATTACCAAACCGATATATAAATTTATTATTTACTATATAATGAATATTTAAGACGATTTGTTCAAATGCAAATACCATAATTAGCAACTGTCTTGTAAATTGAATACACTGTAAGTTATAGCAGAGTAAGAAGAAACGATATGTTATATTATATAGTAATAGGGTATATTTTAGATAAAAAAGGGCAAAGTAATAAAAATTAAGATGTACAATTAAGTAACTGACAAGAATAAAAATATGGACAATATTTTTGGATCATTTCCATTTATGTATTACTGACACTCCTACAGCATTTAAATATAATTTAAAACAAAATAGCCTAAAAACATTTGTATAAAACTATATAAAAACTATAATAACAATAAAACGGTTTTGGAATATGTAACAATGATTATTAAATGTTTCATCTCTACTTTCAACTTTGTAAGTATCAGTCCTCATAATGCAAGATACTGCATTACAATCTTGTACAAATAACATGAGAGAGCTTCGCTAAATATTGGGCATTTTGTGATGTTTCTTATAGTTATCATCCATTCATTTACCTAAAAATTGATTACGTTTATTCTAATTATTTTACACATAGTGGTACTTTGAATTATCAAAAATTGAAGTTTTTTAAATTATTTAATATTTAGAAATATATAAACTTTAAGCTATAGTAGATATTCAATATTATCCAATAGTTTTATTTCATTCATCTATTATTCATTAATATAAAAATTTATTATAGATTTCATCATAACGTTACCAACATTTTAAATATATTTATATATAACATTTGAATGTGAAATTTTAAATTCACTTGCCATATTAATAAAAAATACTAAAGCAGTTCAAATGCAACTACAAAAAAATTAACAAATTAACATTAAGGTGTATATTTTAAGTAATATCTATTAAAACGTGATTTTTATTTTAGGTCTGTGAGGTTTCCGGATGTATTTTTGTATAATTTTTTAAAAATTATTGAATTGGGCGGCTTTTCATAAGCAGAATACAGGGTGTCCCTGAACTCACCGTCAAGCCAAAACGGGGTGATAGTATTGACCTAAGTGACCAAAAAAATTATCTCAAGTTGCTTGAAAATTATGAGCTTTTAAGTGCAACATAGAGCTTTGGTAAAATTGGGACCATATTTTATTATTGTGGTTAATTTTCATTGCCTTTGTTTATTCAAACGTAGGAACCGCAACTGTAAACAGCCTTTTCTGAATCACAGTAAAAAATAATGACACAATTGCGCCAGGTTTTTAACAACTGAGACTCTGAACTATGAATTTAAATTTTCATAAATCGATCGATTTTGAGAGGAATCTCTTTAGAAAAATGTATTAAAGTGTGCTAGCAAGTTTCATCAAAAGTTTTGGAACATGTAAAATGGTAATTTTTGACTGTAGTGGTATTACGCTTATGACTGTAGTACTATTATTCACGGTTACGGTCCCAAAATTCACAATTTATAAACAACGTGATATAATTTTTTTTTCAAATTTTTTTTCACAATGGATACGGTCAATATCATCACCTGAAACGGGTTTCAGTTAAGTTCTGAAACACCTAGTATATTATGTAACATAACCGAACATGAAAAACAGGTAAGAAAAAGACTTTACATTTGGCATTGTTTTTCAATAGAATAAATGATCAGATTAACAATGAATGTTCCTGTTGAAAGTAATGAAGTTGGTAAAAATTTTGATTGTGTATTTTTCATTTTTTACAAAGGTGGTTGGGTAACTTTTTGTAATTTTTACCGCAACGATATCAATTATTTCTATAGCTGTAGTATATTTCTTTTAATCCAGTCTGATTTTCATTATAACAAAATTAAAGAAAAAATATTTTCTTAAAATTATGTTTTTTAATTCAAAAACCAAGCAAATAGGATTTAGAGCGTTTTTTATTTTTTTATATTTACGACATAGTTTAATTATAAATGCTACTTGGATAAAAATTGGCCATCATGTATGTTATTTTATAGAGTTATAGATCATACGGTTAACATATTTATAGTTCACTTTATTTTTATTTGTATCTAAATAGTGTTAAAACAATAAAATATTACCTGAACTGACGATGATTTAAAATCGCCACTTTCACCTGATTTATTCGTATCATAAAGTTGAGCTATTTCAGCCGGAGTTAATTCGAGTAATTCACATGCACTATATGCAGCTTCACTTCTAGAATGAATTTTATTCTTCTGATCATGCTGAGATTGCTCTCCCTTTCGAGAGACCACTTTTGTTAAAAATTGTTGCAACATTACTTCGTATTGATGAAGTTTGGATTCAGATTTTACAAGCCAAGCTTGAAATTCCGTGTATTTTGTACGATATTCGGTTAATTGCTCGTCTAGCTCACTAGATATTATTTCAGTCTAAATAAAGAAAAACACAGTGATTTTGGAGATTGAAATATTCTATATATGAAAAAATGTTTATCTCCAACATATTGAAGGTACATGAAAAATTGTTTTGAATCTATACGAAAGTTTACAGATTTTTTTCTGATTATATTTGAAAAAAAAATGTTTAAAATTTATAGAGGTTTGTCTAATCTGATATAAAAAAGGGCGAGAAAATGACACTGAAATTAAAATAATAAAAAAAATGATATTAAAATACTAATATAGCTGCTGCTCATACGCAATTATTAATAACAGTATAGTATAACATTAGCATCAGAATAAATTGCAGTAGGCGGGTACATATTGAATTGGAAAAATATTAGCCAAAAATTTTGGCGATGAAGTAATTTTAGCGATGAAAAAGGGTCCAATTATAAAATGGTCTTTTCTCACATATCTATTTTAAACTGTTGAGTGAAAATTATTCAACTCAAATTTCAATTGCCTAATCTAAACAAATTATTATTCAAATACTTTGGGTTACCATCGGTTAAACTCGAACTTAAAAACTTAAGAGTTTAAGCCAACTATGCGATTTTAAATCTTAATATGCAAAGAGATCAATTCCCAATGGTTCTGAATTTAATTAGCCATTACAATATTATCCAAAAGTAATTGAATAAAATTCAATTGAGTGTGTCATAGGTTTCAATAAAATTTCATTATATGTCCTACAAAACTGAAGAAAGCTAATGAATACTAGGATCACTATCAAATACTAAAAATTCATTTTGAATATTTATAACAACTCTGACTTAAAAGACTGCCTTCTTCCTTATTCTAAGTGTAAACTCGTATCTCGATAAAAAATAAAGTTAAATATAACAATTAAGTTTTAAACTTGACTGAAAATGTCTCTTTTTAGGTTAATTCACGTATTTCACATAAACATATATATCGATATATTAGGCAAAGATAATATACTAGACAATCATCTAATCCATCCTTTATACTGGAGATATAAACAAATTATGGCTTTAGTAAAGGTGAACGACATACTATATAGTTTGATTACAAAAAACTTAATTATGGATAATATATTGATACTAACAAATTTTGTACGTAATTAAACACAGGTCAACAAAATAAACAAAGTTGTCTGTATTGGGCGTTCGGATAAACATGAATCTAAAGTAAAATTGGGGGCCAAATGGCAAAAAATTACAAAAAATTTAAAAAAAAACTACAAAATCTTCGATCTGTAAAAAAGTCTGCTGTAAATCTTATAATTTTTGTCATTTCCTTGCCCTAATAACTTAATCATTATTTATAAGAAATTATTTAATAAGTAAATATTGTGAATATTATATCGAAAAAACAACTACTGAGTTGTTTTTTCCAACATGTCAAAGTAGTATACAATGTTCCTTTTCGGCGGACTATTGTAAATCCATTAAATTTACTGAATGTCCTATACTGGACAGTTGTAAATAAAAGAGTTAATAAAAAAAAAAAAATTCCTTGCCCTTTCAACTTTTAACTTTCAAGTTTTAGTTTGATATAATGCAGCAGTACTTTTCAGATATTCGAATTGCAAACATGGTTGCAGATTACCCAGGAGCAATGGGGAATAAATATGTTTGCAAATTACAGTTGAATTACACAAATAAATGGATCATTTAATTGAAACTCAATATTCATTCAAGGTAAAAAGGGCCAGGAAACGACTGAAATTACAAGATTTTGATTATTATGCAAAAGAATTACTAGATCGGAGATTTAATCATTTCTTCATCCTTTTTTTTCAATTTTTTGCGATTTCACCTCCAATTTTGGTTTTAGTTTTGTCTTCAGCGCTAAAAACTATATCGGGAAACATATGTTGCACATCCAATGCAGCCATTTTTTTTATTTTGTGAACCAGTGTTATTGGTGCAAAGTTATACTTCAATTTTATCTCCAGCGTAAAAACTAGACAAGTTCAACATAACAAAATTTAAAATTTATTTACCTGACAATAAATTTCTTTCATTTCCAAACATGTAACAGATTTGTCTACCACCGACATAGGTTCATCGCACTGGGTGCTCATATCAAAATGCTTTATTTTACCTTTCGTTCGTTGTATATTAACTTCTAATTTGCTCAGACGACATTGTAATGAACTTTTCGAGTTTTTCACAGTTTTTAATTCATCCTTAGTTTCAGATAACTGTCTTTGCGAAACATGAGCTCTCTCCTTATAGGTATTCAATATAGAACTTTTATTTAAGTTCAAAGTCTCTGCACGAAATAATCTAACAAGAAACGATGATTAATAGTTTTTAACAACAAAATAGGTTAATTTAATCAAAAAAACTCTATTAAAAATCACTTAACTAGCAATTATCAAATCGGTTATAACCCTATACTGGTGGTGTGAGGTATTGTGCCTTAGGGCAAATTCTAGAACGTTTAAAAACCGATTTTGTACATAAATGTACAATGAATATTATGTGAAAATGTGAATTGAATTTCAAATACTCAGTTATTGGTACATAATGAATTGTAAGCCTAGCACAGAACTTTATAATAATTCTGATGATTTGATATTTCAAATATTGATATATTCTTTGCTACAAGACCTATAGGCATTTATTCACGTACGGTTAAACTCTTGAAATTGTTTTAAAATTATAATATGATAAATTGAACATGCAACAACTTACTTTTGCTGAAGTTCCTTATTCAGAGATAGCATTTGATTTAGGTTCATCGTCTGCTCATTGAGAGCAATATTTTTCTGTTTCAATGCAGTATATAAATTGTTTATTCGCAGCTTCATATTCTAATAAAGTAAAAACATTATGTCTTTTATTATTAAATTAAATATGTTGAGAATGATTACTGGGAAACTATAATCACAAATTAAATATTAAAATTCCTTGAGTTATTATCGCCATATTTACTCGACTATTGCAGTCCTTAGGGTAAAGCGGGGCTTAAAGGTCCACTACCATTTTATTAAAACCAAGTAAGAATATTTTTTTAACGATACTATTTTAAAGTAATCGGCAGTTTTTTGGTTCTGTTATTAGTTTACGATATCTGAATATAATTTTTTGGAACAGGCGTTATTTAATTGTTTTATATGATGTTTTGTTACTTTTAAGTTAGATTCAATAGTCTTTTATTTAATTTCTATAGAAGCTTATATATAAAACGTAAATTAAGCCAAAAAACCACTCTCCTGGGGGTCTCCTCATCAGTCAGTTTCAAAAAATCGATTTTTTTTTGTTTCAATCGTTAGATTTATTATTTAAGAATATTCTTGCAATGTTTGAGAGTCCAACTCAAACTAGTTTAAGATTTACTAAAAATCCAGTACTTTTTTAAAAAAAAAGTTAAAAATGTTTAAATTTCAACTTTAAACCGCCATAATAGTCTATGATGTGCAGAAAAGCCTTCTGAATAAAGAAGTATTAACTTCCCGTAGGGTAAGTTATAGTAATCGTCCAAAAATCGAAATCAAAAATTTTTACATTTCTCGACGTTTTGAAGGTTTCTGAACATTTTGGCATACTTCAGAAAAAATGGATGTGTGTGTGTGTGTGTGTGTGTGTGTGTGTGTGTGTTTTGTATGTCCGCTTTTTTTCGTTCACGTTTTCGGGCGCACGGATCAACCGATTTGAATGGTTTAAAAAACATTCGATTCCTATTGATAGGGAGATGTGCTGATTAGTTTTTGGCAAAGGCAGGTCCAGCCGTTACGGAGATATGGAGCAAAGAGTGCAGAAAATAGAAAGCGAGTTTTTGAGGGAACGGATCAACCGATTTGAATGGTTTAAAAAACATTCGATTCCTATTGATAGGGAGATGTTCCGGAAATACAGAGCTAAATGTTAAAAAAATGGCAGTTTTTGAGAGAAATAAGTGTCCGATTTAAATTACTTAAAGAACTTTCTGCTTGTTTCAACAAAATAATTGATTTTGGAATAAAAAATTTTTTGTTTCTAATTTTTTTTTTCAAAAATTTTTTTTTGTAATTTTGGATTAAAAATTCAAAAAATCACCCAAGCTAAGCACAGTCTAAGCGCCACTCTGGTACAAATGTTTACCCAAGTGCGTTTAGACTGTTTATGTACTGGGGCACTTTTTCACTTTTTCGCACAGAATTATTTGCAAATGCGTTTAGACTGTGACTATGCGGGAGCACTTTTTCAATTTTGTGGATTTTTTTTTTTTTTGAAATTTGATTCGAAATGAAATGACGATTGTTAATGTTCTGGAGATGATAAATTGATTATTTATAATTAACTTTCCGTAGGGTAAGTTATAGTAATCGCACAAAAATCGAAAATGAAAATTTTTATATATCTTTTCGTTTCAAAGGTTTCTGAATATATTGGCATACCTTAGAGAAAATTGATGTATGTGTGTGTATGTGTGTGTGATACAAATTTTCGTCGACGATTTCGGGAACCGGGATGAAGCAATTTGAATAATTCAAAAAACATTCGATTCGTATTGATAAGGAGACGTGCTGATTAGTTTTTGTCAAAGGCAGGTCCGTTCCGAAGATATCGGGCAAAAAGGGCCGAAAACGGTAACTCAGTTTTTAAGAGAACGGAGCGTCCGATTTGTATAATTCAAAAACATTTTACTTGCATTATCAAGATGAAGATTTGATCAAATTTTCATGAAAATAGGTCTAGCGGTTTCGGAGATCTAGTAAAAAAGTAAAAAAAAAATAATATTTGGCGGTCAACAATAATCATTAGACATTAGACATATGCATATCAAATTATCAGATATTTTATAGAGATTTTAACAATAAGTATACATTTTGTTAACATTTCTATGGGTTCCGTACCAATGCTTATGCGTTAGACAGCGACGCGGCGCTTACGCGCTTCGATATTTAGTCTCTATGCATTAAAGCATTGAAGCACGATTGCTTTGAAAAAAAGTTCAGAATTTCCAAAATATTTCAAAATAAATTTTTCAACAAAATGTTAGTTTTTGTCAAAAATTTATATAGTTTCTCAAAAATCTATTTTTTTTTCAGAGTAAATTTTTTTAAAAAATGTTAATCTTTTCAAAAAAAAAATAATTTTTGGTACGGGAAGTTCCAGCAATTTGCCTTAAGGCACGATGCCATGCGCCCCACTAGTTTCCATTTTTAGTTTCAGATAAAAATTACGGGCTGTACCTTGCACGCAGTTTGAGTTGTCAATCGCGAGCTGCTGCACAAGATTGTTTATAAATCAGCCATTTTTATTTATTTTGACATACAAAAAAACTTTATTTTGTTGAATAAATATGTGTTCAAAACTATGCAAAAGATCTTTTGTTTCTCTTGTTGTTTTCATGTTAAAAAAAAATACGAAAAATCCATTTTTTTGTAAGCTACTGATGAGGAGATCCCCTTAATTAAATTAATAGTTGTTCCAACTCTGCTGATAAATATTTCTGATGCTAGATACTAGATCAGAGTTATACACAGTGTGATCTTAAATGTGCTTATAAAATTTGTATTTTGCATTGGTTACATGATGAAGGTTACATTGTTTCGTAAAATCTCTTTAAAATTAAAAATAAGACTTTGGACCTCTGTTAGTCTGAGATAAAAAGGGACAGAGAAAATAAAAAAAAATAGCGAAAAACCTTATTTCTATAATTTAGAATTATCCGATAATTTTATTGCACATAATTCGATACTTGATTGTTCCATATGTATTATATGTTGTAATAAAGTTCATTTAGTTTAGACAGTATATTTATTGAAAGTCAAATTGATCCATTGTGCCGCGCTCTGTCTTATAAAACAATTGAAAAAATAGATTAAGAATTATAAATCTTAAGAAAAACTGTAAAGAATAGGCAAGACCTAGATAATACTAACGATTATACATCTTTAATAAATAAATTATTAATTACAATACCTTGAAATATATTATGGGAATAAAATGGTAAAACGAATCTTTCTAAAATTACGCACAGTAAATTATGACAAACCTTAACCAAATTCTTTTCAATTAGAACAAAATCAAATCATTATTAAAGAAATTATTTATTGTAAATATTTATATTGATAGTATATGAAATAGAATTGTTCTTTGACTATATTCGATTTAATTTTGATAGACATACCATAACTTCATTATCCGCATCACTTGACTTTAACTTCTTGTTATTTTCCGTAAGATATCTCGAGGCATCCTTCAATCTAATAACTTCAACTTTCAATCTAGATATAGTATCTTGTAATTCACAACAGACCTTGTCACTCTCTACAACTAACCGAGTTGATTCTTCAAACTTTTTCGTAATGTCAGCGACCTAAACTAATTATGTTACAGACTAATAAACTAAAAAAAAATAAAATCTCCTTATTAATAATCATACCTTATCCTGCAAAATTCTGTTCTCTTTTTTAAGTTCTTGGATTTCATTTTCTTTTTCCATGATATACTTTTTGGATAATTTTAACTTATTTTTTAACATATCGCACCGTGATGGAATGCTCTCAATATTTTTAATGCATGTTGTTAATTGATGTATGTTGGTTTCTAGAGATTCGTGCAAGGATTCGACCAATTGCTGCCTATAAGTTTTGAATTTGAATAAAAAACACAAAAGGAAAAAAGGTTCTAGGGATGACTATTTTATTATGAGATATAAGTGGTTTTTTGAATTTCATGTTACATATCAGAAAAATTAATCGCAAACCCTCCTAGATGTTTTCCGCATATTGTTAAAGTTAAGATAAAGTATAACAATAACAACAATTTCGACTACACTTGGTTGTAGTATGCCTGTAAAATACATACCAATGTTATGGCAAGGCTATGTTAGGAAAAACTTTCCATACTAAATCATTCTAAATATTGACAAAAGCCACGTGGTTGCTGTGCAATCAGGCGTTTTTCTCAGGTTGTCAGATAGAACACCTAACCTAGAAACCGCACAAATGTCAAAAAAAAACGAAGGTAACAGGGTCTGTCTGATCTAGCTTCATGACAAACAAGTGACGATGCAGTTCATGTGCAAAACAACTGAATGCACAGCAAATACATGACATTTTGACAGTATTCAGTATGATTCAGTAGCCAGTTAGAGCGTAACATGGCCTTGCCATAACATTGGTCTTTTGTGCGGCAGAATCGGCCCATAAAATATTGACTTTAAAATCACAGCATTTTGAAACGTCGCAATACTTTGTATAGTATTAACTTGTTTCGATTACGTCTATACTGGCAAATTGTTGGTAGAAGTAGTTTTCCAAAAGAATTTTTGGTTGGCGCTATATAGATTAATTTTCTGTTCTTCTATAGAATTATAATTGCATATGAAAAATTGTTGATTGAATTAAGACATAAATGAAAAACATATCTTAAGCATACTGCCCAAAATTCCCTATAAGAAACTCTTTAAAAAATGATATGTCTAGTATATCCAGAATAAAATACGTTTTCATACACTTTTGACTAAATCAGTATTATTTAAGTATGGAAAACTAAGTATTCATCTTATATACATACTAGCAGCTGCGCTGATTTTAGGTTTAGAATAGTAATTAAACAATTAATAAAATTAATACAGACCAAAGACTAATGAAAAGTCATACTTTTCTGGATCAAGGTCTTGGTCCTTCTTCAAATTTAAAAGAATACTTCGTGTGTGTCTCAATTCATTCGTAAAGTCAAATATCATTCTTAAATTCAGTTGTTTTGGATCCTGCAGAATTATTAGTAATATAAATTTCTGCGTTCAAAATCTAAGTAATCTAAGTAACTTACTTACATCAATTATCATAGAAGCAGCTGCGTCAAGGACAACTTCATTGCACGTTTGCGTTTCAGTTGCTACGAATTCGGTTAAATTGCTTACATCCATATCAGTTTGCGTCTTTACTGAAGATTTACTCTGAGACCGCAATAAACTCTTTTCCCTCAAATATTGCTATAATGTTTCAAATAGACAACATTGTTTAATTTTACATACATCGCTTATTGTTATATATATATATATATATATATATATATACATATATATACATACACACACATATATATATATATATATATATATATATATATATACACAATACATATATATATATATATATACATATGTACATAAATGCTCACAAATATATATATATACATATATATATATACATATACATATATATATATACACATATATATACATACTAGCTGACCCGGCAAACGTTGTTTTGCTAAGTAAGTTATTTTATAAACAATTTCTAGAGTATCTAAAAAATTAATACTTTTTGTGTAAGGATGTGTTGTTTGAATTGCTATATACAATGAGATATTATAGAAACAATAAACCCCATTAGTTTGTATATATTTTATTAATACAACCAAACTGAAAGTTTTATACACTTTCTATAGAAAACATGGCATAATTCAATCCAAGTCTTTGTTGGTCTTTCGACTTATATAGTCATTACAAATTCCATTTAATCGATTAATGAATGCGTTTCAAATTTTTTGAAATTTTTTTTGGATTCTGGATTTTGTGTATAATTGTAAATAATACTATTGAGCTTGTACAATTTTTCAAATTTCTGCGAGGAGAGATACAAAATGATTTAGGTATCTCTTTTTGACCTGCTTTTTGAAAAGTTTCTAGTAATATTCGATGATAAAAGTAAATTTAATAAAAAGTATATATGTAGAACAGGGCAAGGCACAAAGGTCCAATTTGACTTTAGGCAAATATAAATTTTATTATGAAAATCAAACCAATTACATCACAACAAATGACACATTTCAAATGAACAATTATCTGACTACGTTCAGTAAAACTACCAGCTACTTCATCATTGTAAAAACGTGCTTTTTGCTGTCTTTAAAAAAATTTATCTAGACCTTTTTACCCTATAACGGGGTAACTTGGAACGGCCAGATGGCAAGCAGGTCTAATGTCATATTTTAATTTCAAAGGTATTTTACAAAATAATTACATTTTCAACTAATTGCTAGAAAACTACCAATGGAAGAAAATACTTTTACTATGGATTTTCAAAGATTACCATTTATCTCCCATACCAAAGTCATAAGAATCAGGTTATAGCTGATTATACATATTTTTCCCTTTACATTCAAATACTGCTGTTAAACAATGCTTAGCTTTACTGGTTTTTGACACTTCGGTCGTGGATCTTCATATATTACTATCCATTCTTGAATAAATTCAGAAATTATAACTGGAAATAAGCTATTCGACAAAATGTTCCTTTGATCAATTCCAAATTTAGGTTCTAAATCTGAATAATCTAGAAAAGGTTTTATAAATACCAATGAGTACATAATTATACAAATAAGTTCTTTCAGAGCATTGTGTTTGAGAAAAAATATGATTTGTCAACCATACTGAGTTATAAGATTCGCTTCATTTCACTGTTTATACGAATGGGCAATGGCACTATCATTATATTATAATTGTTAATTATTAATTTAAATTAAATAATGTTATTATTAATTCCTTACAAATATTGAATTGTCATCCATGCGTGATTACATAGCTGTCATTTGCTTATTGTTATTCCAAGTCGAACAGGATCGAACAGGATAAAAGGTATCCTATGTCCTTCTCCTGGCTCTGAACCAACTTTTACCAACTTTACCAAAGCCAATTTTCAGTTAAATCGGTTCAGCCTTCTTGAGTTATAAGTTCTGACGATATATCTCCAGAATGCACAAACCGAATTCGACAATTTTGCATTTGCTGAAAAGGTCTGGGGCTCCGTGAGGTTTATAGCTGGGTTATAATATATGAAAAGAACCAAAAACTAATATTCTATCACGATAGTTAACATAAGGTAGTCGATTACTTCAATTAGACCTTTTTATTGTCGAATCAAAGCACCAACTTTTACCAACTTTACCAAAGCCAATTTTCAGTTAAATCGGTTCAGCCTTCTTGAGTTATAAGTTTTTGACAATATAACTCCAGAATGCACAAACCGAATTCGACAATTTTGCATTCGCTGGAAAGGTCTGGGGCTCCGTGAGGTTTATAGCTGGGTTATAATATATGAGAACCAAAACTAATATTCTCACTATAGTTAACTTAAGGTAGTCGATTACTTCAATTAGACCTTTTTATTGTCGAATCAAAGCACATTTGCTGATAATATATATTATGCCAATTAGTTGTAAACACCTGAAACATTTTATAAGATATGTATAAAGAAATTACAAATTAACAACAATTAATGTATAACTATTTCATTTTATTACAATTTTGAGGTTATGTCAAGAAACTATATTTCAGAATATTTTTTTATAATTATTTGTTGATGATTATACTTATTGCTGATATATAATATAAACACCTCAAATACTCTATTCAAATACGTATAAACAAATATACATAAATACCTAATTATATAAATAACTAGCAAACCCGACGAACTCCGTTTCGCCACCAGATGGGTTCGTGAGAAAGATGAAGAAATTTTTTGTTTGTTTTATAGTTTAAAATTAAAAATTTGATTTTATTATACAACAGTAACGAATTTATTTTGATTACAAAAATGAAGTGTTTTTTAGTTGAACTTCACTAAGTAAATGAAAGTGAATCCGCAAATTATCCGTTTCATGGAAGTGATCTTTGGTAAACCACATTTTTTGTTTTTTGGTCTGACGTTAACACAAACAAAACGGATGCTTTTCCAACTCGTGAACTCGTATACCTGCCCATGTGAAAAACAATGATTTTCTAAATAATCTATTTGAAATTTATCCCGCAAACACTAAGCGATTGGCCTTGCGGCTTGTTAGTTGTTATGCGAACGCAAGGCGAACTGGAAATTGCAATCATTTGAAGTCAAATGGAAGACCAGTCGGAATCATTCGTATGTCACCAAATCGCCAGCAATTTTTGATTGAATGGTGAAATTCAGTGCGTGTACATCATTATTCTCTGAGGCAAGAATTGCTCGTTGACTTAACCAAGCATAATTCTGATAATTCTCACTAATGTCATTACTTGAATTTTTAATTACGGTGCGTGAAGTTCCAGCAGCTTGCATTAAGGCACAATGCCATGCACAACTAATTTTCTTAGCTATAAACCTTGCGGAGCCCGAGACCTTTCCAACGAATGCAAAATTGTCGAAATTGGTTCGTGCGTTCTGGAGTTATTTCGTCAGGAAGGAAAACCCGACTTATTTTTATATATATAGAAGATAATCTATTTGAAATTATTTAAAACAGTTATTGATTATTTTTATTACTTGAATTTTTAATTACGGTGCGTGAAGTTCCAGCAGCTTGCATTAAGGCACGATGCCATGCACAACTAATTTTCTTAGCTATAATCCTTGCGGAGCCCGAGACCTTTCCAACGAATGCAAAATTGTCGAAATCGATTCGTGCGTTCTGGAGTTATTTCGTCAGGAAGGAAAACCCGACTTATTTTTATATATATAGAAGATAATCTATTTGAAATTATTTGAAACAGTTATTGATTATTTTTATTACTCAAATTTTTAATTACGGTGCGTGAAGTTCCAGCAGCTTGCATTAAGGCACGATGCCATGCACAACTAATTTTCTTAGCTATAAACCTTGCGGAGCCCGAGACCTTTCCAACGAATGCAAAATTGTCGAAATCGGTTCGTGCGTTCTGGAGTTATTTCGTCAGGAAGGAAAACCCGACTTATTTTTATATATATAGAAGATTACATTTCCATTTTCAAGAAATAAATTTCCCCATCGTCCATCTAGCATCGCTTGGTATTATTAAGAATTAATTTATTTGCCACTTTGTATTAATTTTCCGTGGCGATTAAAATATTTATATTATTCACGTAATAATTTTCAAATAATGGTCATTAAGAAATGCATATCAATATATTTGTATCAAAACAGAAACACCGAATGACAGTTGACAATCGAATGTAAATGTCATGGATGAAATCATTGATAGTATCATAGATTGAATAAACTACATGGATTGTTTATAAATAATTAATTTTGAATTAGAATGAAATAAAGGGATAAAAAGTATCCTAAGTCCTTCTCCTGGCTCTAAACTACCTCCCTGCCAATTTTCATCTAAATCGGTTCAGCCGTTCGTGAGTTATAAGTGGTAGCACATAAGGCGATCCTCTTTTATATATATAGATATATATAATATATATATATATATATATATATCTTGATACATTTCAAACAAGAATCCAAAAGTAATAAAAAACAAGAAAAGTTTTTTAATAAACAATTTCTTTATTTATTTATTTATTTACTGTCGACGTTTCGGAACTAGGTACGTTTCATCTTCAGGACATCTGTCAAGAAACATGATCTTGATGAGATTTAAGCAAACAATACGTTTACGAAAAGAAAATGGATTTTTCTTAAATAATAAATTAATTGCAAAAAATAATAATGCACAGAAATATGATAATCTGGCAAATAAATAAAGAAATTGTTTGTTAAAAAACTTTTCTTGTTTTTTATTACTTTTGGATTCTTGTTCGAAACTCTACAATATATATATATATATATATATATATATATATATATATACTAGCTGACCCGGCAAACGTTGTTTTGCTAATAAGTGGGCGTCCATTAATCACGTGAGCGAGTTTTTGCGGATTCTTAGACCCCCCCTCCCCCTTGGTGATATTTGGTGATATTCAAAATTACCCCCCCCCCTCCCCCACCAAACATCACGTGTATTTTTAGTTACGTGAAAAAACTGTAAAATTTTTGAGTTTTTTTAAAAATATTTGAACTTTTTTATAATAAATATTAAAAAAAAATTACACGTGATACCTTGCTATACCGCTCCCTCCCCCTCGTAATATTTCGTGATTTTTTGTCAACCCCCCCGTCCCCCTAAAAACCTCACGTGATTAATGGACGCCCCCTAATGTATATTCTAATCAATTTC